AGATATAATGAGCCAATAGAGTATATCACATGGGATAAGAAGCCATTTACAAAATTAGATTATAAAAAGGCAATGGCTTTTGTTTGGGGTATATTCACTCATTCTTTCGCAGATCACTTGCTCTTGGGCAAGCCAGCAGCCATGTCATCATGTAGTTCCAGAGAGAGGCCCACAAGGCAAGGGACTGAGACCTGCTGACCAGCCTGTGAATGAGTTCAGAAGACCTGTCTGAGCTGACAGCTTTGTCTGCAACCTCATGGGCTACCTGCAGCCAAAGACACAGTTAAGCCACGCTCAGATTCCTGAGCCACAGAAACTGAGAGAGAATAATTGTTTGGTGGTTTTAACCACTACATTTGGGGGGGGGGTGTTATACTTTAATATGTAGCTGATGTATAGCCCTTGTGACAGTTCTATGTTGTGGTTATTCGATTTTATAAACTGTATTGAGTAGCTATCTAGTTTATTCTGTCCTCTGAATTACCTTCATACAATAGAAATTATTTCTTGAAGCTTGTGCCTAAACTCCAGCTCACTCTAGCACCTTCCGAATGTGAAAGGACAGAGCTTTGACAACTTGAATGTCTGTCATATTGGCCAACTTTACTGGCTTGTGTTTCCCTAAAAGTGTCCATTAAATTCAAATATTCAGCATTAGGAAGTTTAAAATATTCTGTAATTTTTTAATATATTTTATTGATTATGCTATTACAGTTGTCCCATTTCCCCCCTTCTCTCCCCTCCACCCTGTACCCGCTCTCCCACCCACATCCCCCCCTTTAGTTCATGTCCATGTGTCATACTTATAAGTTCTTTAGCTTCTACATTTCCCGTACTATTCTTGCCCTCCCCCTATCTATTTTCAACCTACATTCTATACTACTTATTCTCTATACCTTTTCCCCCTCTCTCCTCCTCCCATCCCCCTGTTGCTAACCCTCCATGTGATCTCCATTTCTGTGGTTCTCTTCCTGTTCTAGTTGTTTGCTTAGTTTCTTTTGGTTTTGCTTTAGGTGTGGTTGTTAGTACTTGTGAGTTTGCTGTCCTTTTACTATACATGTTTTTTCTTTATCTTCTTTTCTTAGATAAGTCCCTTTAACATTTCATAAAATAAGGGCTTGGTGATGATGAACTCCTTTAACTTGACCTTATCTGAGAAGCACTTTATCTGCCCTTCCATTCTAAAAAGAGAGCTTTGCTGGATAGAGCAATCTGGGATGTAGGTCCTTGTCTTTCATGACTTGGAATATTTCTTTCCAACCCCTTCTTGCCTGTAAGGTCTCTTTTGAGAAATCAGCTGACAGTCTGATGGGAACTCCTTTGTAGGTTACTGTTCCCTTATCTCTTGCTGCTTCTAGGATTCTCTCCTTCGTTTTTACCTTGGCTAATGTAATTATGATGTGCCTTGGTGTGTTTCTTCTTGGGTCCAACTTCTTTGGGGCTCTCTGAGCTTCTTGGATTTCTTGGACGGCTATTTCCTTTGCCAGAATGGGGAAGTTCTCCTTTATTATTTGTTCAAATACGTGCTCAATTTGTTGCTTTTCCCCTTCCCCTTCTGGTACCCCTATAATTCGGATGTTGGAACGTTAAAAGATGTCCTGGATGCTCTTAAGCTTTTCCTCGTTTTTTTTAAATTCTTATTTCTTCGTTATTTCCTGTTTGGTTTCTTTTTTCTTCCTTCTGGTCCACTGTGTTGTTTTGAGACCCAGTTTCCTTCCTTCCACTATTGGTTCTCCTCCGTGTATCTTCCTGCATCTCTTTTATGGTAACCTGCATCTTTTCATCTAATTTGCGCCCAAAATCAACCAATTCCGTGAGCTTTCTGATCACCAGTGTTTTGAACTGTGCATCTGATAGACTGGCTATTTCTTGGTTGCTCAAAAGGATGAGTCCTGGGGGACTGATCTGTTCTTCTGTTGGAAACATGTCTCTCCCTGTCTCTCTTTTTTTTTCTTTTTTTTTCCCAGTTGGGTCGCTCTTGTTACGGTGGGTGGCGGAGCCTTAGGTGTTCACCGGGGCTGGGCACCCCAGTCACTAGATTGTGACGTTATATGTGGGGGCAGGGGCGGGAGTAGGGACGGGAGGGAACAATGGCAGTAGTTCCGTTCTCCTGGGATCTCAGTCCCTTCTGTGGGGTCCTGGGTTGCGAGCTCTGCCCTGGTCCACAATCGCCACCTCACTGGGCCCACCAGCCGGGCCTTGCATACTCAGGGACCACTGCTGCGTTCTTGCACGCTGGAGGGCTTTTGTGCCGATTTCGCACCAAGTTTTCCCTAACCTCCGCGCGCCGCCGACCGGCACCCACCCGCCTCGTCTTCTCCTACCAGTCTGGATGTACAGGTCTACTTCAACTTCTTGGCTGTCCAACTTCCATTCAGATAAATCCTCTATCAGTTCTGAATGTTATTCTATCTGTAAATTATTGTTGGTCTAATCTTGGTTGTGCCAATATTCTGTAATTTTTAACTCTCCTCTGGTTGTTATTTCAATGGAAAAGAAATAAACCCAAATAGTAATAATCTTTTAAGTAGTAGAATAATGCATCACATTTACTATTATATTAATGTTATGAGTTTTTCAATTTGAAAATAAAAATATATTATTTAGGAATAGGAACAAGAGAAAATATACACATACTAAATAAGCATCTATGTACATGTGTACATATATATATATTTGCTTGTTTTTATACAGAAAACAGTTACTAGCGAGTTGGCAAAAGTATATTCAGTAGAAAGATGAGGGAAGATGTCAGAAACCTCTGAGGTAAGAAGTAAATGGAAAGACCTAGAAACAGAATATATACTGTTATTTTTCTGAAAAGAGAAGGAAAAAAGGAAAAGGTAAGTCTATGTAAAATAAACTAAGGACAAAGAGATAATTTCATGTTTTCTTTTTCAAGTGCAAGAACTGGAGGATATTTACATACTACAGGGAAAGGAACAATAAATTTGGAAAGACTGAAGCAATAAGAAGGAAAAGTAATAATAACTGAAGCTGCAAGGACTCCAATGCTATCGACAGTGCTCAGCACAGGGAAGGAAAGTAGGCAATGACACTTGATGATAAATTATTTTCTGATTGTCTAGTCCCTTTCTGGAGAGCTCCATTCAACAAAACCCAGTAATTTCTAGGTCTCATTTAGTACCTCACTGTGAATGAATGCTTTGCCCCTTCTGCTGTGACAGTTTGTATTATGTTAACCTGATAACTATCTGACTTTTTCTCTGTGTTCTTTTTAAGAAAAGGCATGTTTCAAAGTGCCATATCTTTCTTAACTGAGGCTCTAAGTTTTCTGGAGATGAGCTACCTCCCAAGATTCACCTGGTGCCCACCAACCCATGCCCAGGATGCACTGAACCTTCTTCTGACCCTTCCCTTGATGTCCCAGATTGCTGGCCCATGGGTCACACAATGCCCTGGGGCTTTGCTGGCAAGCTTCTGAGCTCACCTCCTGTCTCCAGATAATGTCTGCATGGAATACAAATGTTTATAGAAAATGTCAAAGCATCACTAAACATTCTGCCCTTAGGGTTCCCTAAGGGGCTTGTGATCATAAATTGGATTGTTCTGCAATGGCAACTGTACTTCCAAAGCTGTTCCTCATGATCAAGAAGGCAAGAACTCCAACAAGATACATGAGAAAGGCAGTGAATTTTGGATTCATGATCAGAGGTGCTAAAGATTCCAAACCAGTCACATTTAAGTAAATGGAGTAGTCATCAATAACCAGTACATGCCCCAGTGATCCTGTAATTCTCCTGTGAATTTTTACAATGCTGGGAGAGTCTTGCTCCCAGGTACCACAGGTCCCAGCAACTTCAGAGGAGAAAAAACCTGAGGCCAGGCTTAAGGAGAGTGGTCCCCTCAGCTTTCAGGCCCCTCACTGACCCTCCCTAGGGCCAATGTGAGGTTTGGGAGGTTTTCCCCTCCCAGGGCTTCTGATAATGATACTGTAAGCCTCCACCAACCCCCATCCCTGCTTCTGCTGAAGATATTATTTTCAAAAGCTCTGCCAGGGAAGAGCTGTGGGTTCCACTCCTTGAAAAGCTGAGGTGGAAAAACCACCTCTCAGAGGAAGCCATGGCAGAGGGAAGCTTCCTTCACGATACTGAGAGAAATCACTTAACCTGGAATGGGACCATCAAAGAGGGTACGAAAATCAAGTAAGATCATGAATGACAATGCACTTGGCAGCTTCAAAAATTGGTGTTCTTACTCATGTCTTCTTTAGGGATTCCCTAGGCTACATGTTCTTTTGTGCTCGTTTCCTCAGTGTCTATGAGGTAATTCATTGCCTTGTGTCTTCCATATTATTTGGTTTCCAAAGTTCACCTAAGGCCTATGGTTCCCTTTTCCCTTTTTGTTCTTCTCCCATTACATGTAGCAATGATGTGTAAACAATTTGTGGCACTCGAACTTTAGATATAAAAATTAATTGTTTTTATTCAGTATGCAGTACAGATGGAGAATTAAAGAAAAGCTTTTCTATGTCTCCTTAACCTGTGTGTACTTTTGAATATAATTTCATTGTTCAAGTCTGCTAATGTACATTCCCCAATATACTAATACAATATACTAATATATTTGAAATGCTCTTATATCCAGTGCTTGTCTTCCTATTATTGGGGAAATAAAGTGAATTATTTTACTCTATAAATGTCACATTGCCCTTTACAGATCCTCCAAAGACCACAAAACAGTGACTTCTCAACAAAATACCTCTGCTGCTTTCACCATGGCCTCCCCTTCTCTGTAAGTGCCATGCACCCCACTGTCATTGCCAACACCCTGTCAATATTTAACAAATGTGCTCACTTTGAATACCTGGTAGTCATGTTCATTGCATGGTGTCTCCTGATATGAAGGCTCACTGGAACACAGAGAAGTTCTTGCTACTGAAAGGATCAATAACCAGAAAGCATCTCACCTCCTGAGTACTAAATATATGAAGAAGTTCTCTTCATCCCAGCTACTGATTCTAAGTCACTTATTCAACCATGAGGGTCTTGCTTTGCATCCTTGGAGTCCTTGCCTTGTTTTCCACGGTTCCTCCAGGTAAGATGCAACCCTTTCTGCCAGAGTTATAAAAATATAAATGAAAGAGAATGCAAGGTCTTCCAAGTGTTTGATAATAAATTAGACAAGAGCAAATGGTGCTGTCCAAGGACAAGTGTGAGGGGAGGGCATTGGCTGCTCACAGGAAGGGAAAGCTGATGCTACCACATCTGTGAGGTGGTGCCTGTTGGTGATTCAGCCTATTGTGAAATCTAACTTGAGATGGTGCTTGCCCTGAAGATGGTGGAAAGTTGTTCACAGAACATACACACACCAAAAGAGGAGAGGAATTGAAAAAATGGAAAGAGAGTGGTGAGTACAAGAAGGGCCAGGAGTAAAGAGGAAGCCACTCCAGCATAATCTGTGGTTCACAGGACCACAGATTTGGATCCCTTCTCTAGGTAAGGGGTAAAGACCTAAATGAAAATGACTTTGTTTTGGGGGAGAGCCAAGATTCTACCTGAACACTTACCCAAATAACCAAGTACACAGGCATACTTATTGAATAATCAATCCAACTTTCTCAGATTAATTTTAAAATCCACCAATACTATATAATAAGTACATATTAATCTTTGGACTTTAACAGGGATTTATATTACTGTCTATTGACTTATTTATCTCTCCTGATGCATATACTACCTTAGAGCACATTTGAATACCTGGAAATTTACAATATTCTTCATTATTCTTGGTTTTTTAATATTTTTATTGAGATAAAATGCACCATAAAATTCACTCTTCCACAGTGTAACACTTCAGTGGTTTTCTATATATTCATAAAGCTGTGCAGCCAACAGCACTCTCTAATTCCAGAACACTTCTTCATCACTCCAAACAGAAACTCCATATTCATTAGCAGTCATTCCCCAGCCTGCTCTCCCCTCACTTCACACCCTGGCAACCACTAACCTGCTTGCTTTCTGTCTCTATCAATGTACCTTTTCTGCAAATTTAATATAATCATACAATATGTGACTCTTTGTATCTGTTTTCTTCCAGTTAGCATCTTTTTCAAAGTTCACCCCTGTTATAGCAACAGATGAACAGCATTCTAGTAAACAAATACACTACCTTTTAGTTATCCATTCATTATTGATGGACATTTGCATGGTGTCTACTCTGGGACTATTATGAAAGATGCTGTGTGGACATTTATGTCCAAGTTTGGGTGTGGACCCATTTCCAGTTCTCTTGAGTATATACCTGGCCACAGAACTGCTGTGTTACCCAGGTAACTCTATGGTGACTCTCTGAGGAATTGCCAGCAACGTTCCCCAGGTGCATGCTTTGTTTGACAGTTCCCCAGGCAGTGCATGGGGGTTCCAATTTCTCCACATGCTCACCGACACTTGCAGTTCTCTGTCTTTTTGATTAGGAGTCATACCAGTTGGTGGGAAGAAATACCTCATTATCATCTTAATTTGCATTTTACTTTGCAGTTAATTTCCAACATTAATGATGTTGAGCACTTTTCACATGTTTATTGGCCATTTGTGTATCTTCTTTGTAGAAATATCTATTCCAGGTTATTTATTCATTTTTAATTAGGTTGCTTCTATTATTGAGTTGTCAGTTTTTTACATATTCTGGACACTAGAACTTTATCAATTAATAGTTTGCAAATAATCTCTCCCATTCTGTGCATTGTTTCTTTAAAAAAAAATTTACTGGATGTGTTGTCTATAGCAATGAGTATGATTTTAGTTTCCAGTTAAAAACAACTCAGACTTAATTGACTTAAACAATAAAGAAAATACATTGTTCCACATAACAAGAAGCCCAAAGGTTGAATGATTCTGAAATTGGTTCCTGTATCACCTCATCCACCCCATCAACTTGTGCCCAGAAAAGTGCCCAACTTGTCCTCAACCAGCTCCTCTGGAGGTCTGAACAACTTACCATTGCTCTAGACTTGATATCCAGACCCTCCAAGTGAAACCAGAGTAAAAGGAGGGCATTTCTTCTTATTTCAACAAGGAATACTCCCCCAGAAGTTCCCCTTAATGGGTGACATATGCACCCCAAAGTAATCACTGGAAAACAAATGGAGAACAATGCTATTGGGTTTGACTAGCAGATTTTTATGCCTAGGATATCTACAAGAGTGGTAGGCAACCAAACAGCCTTAGGATTCTGGCACCTAAACACATGGTGTATCTGTACACTACTCTTAGTTTTGTCACATTGCTTTAAATTTTACATAAGTGAAACTGTGTAGTAATACTTTTATGTCTAGCTTACTTCACTCCATGATATTATACTTATGAAATTAAACTATGTTGCTATGTGCAACTATAGTTCATTAATTTTTACTTCTGTATAATATTCCATCAGAGAAATATGCCAGATATATGAATGTATTTATTCATTTTACCATCAATGAGCATTCAGGCTGTTTCCAGGTTTGGCCTGCTATGAAGACTATTACTGCTAAAAATTTCATTAAATGAGTCTTGTTGCATATGTGAATGAGTAATTATTGTGTCTATATTGGAATGAAACTATTTGTCATAAGGCATGTGAAATAATGCCAGTTTCCCAAATAATTGAGCAAATTTACACTCTCCTCACCAGTATACAACAACTCTCAAAGATCCATATCCCTACCAACAGTTTCTATGACCACGCTGTTAAGTTAGAGCCATTCAAACATTTGTATGGTAGTAACTGAGTGTAGTTTACATTTAAATGTATACATCACTAACAAGATTAAGGATATTTGCATTTGTTGCATGACCATTTTAATATCAATTCTGCAAGAACCTTTCAAGGATTGTGCCCATTATCCCATTGGTATTTTGTTATTTTCTTAGTGATCAGTAGGATTTCATTATAATTCTGGATGCCAAGTGTTTTATTGTTTCACAAGTATTTTCTGTTTATGGTTTGCCTTTTCAACCTCTTTACCATGTCATTTTATAAACACACACTTGATGATAAATTATTTTCTGAGCATCTAGTCCCTTTCTGGAGAGCTATGCTCAATAAAGCCCAAGAATCTCTAGGTGCGATTTACTATCTCATTTTCAATTAATGCCTTGCTCCTTCTGCTGTGACAATTTGTACTTCAATAGCTTGATAACTATCTGATTTTTCTCACTGTGTTCTTTCAAGGAAAGGCATTTGTCAAAGTGCCATATCTTTCTTCACTGAGGCCCTAAGCTCTGTGGAGATAAGCTCACTTCAACATTCACCTGATGCCCACCAACCCATGCCCAGAAGGCAATGAACTTTCTTCTGACCCTTCCTTGGATGAGAGACAGACACGTCTGGGAACCAAAGTGAGAGTTTATGGCTTATGAGATCTCGTGCAGATCTCAGAACCATCCTCAGTGAAGGACGCAGGAAAACTGAAACCAAGGCTCAGTGCCCTCTGCCCCCTTCTCCTTCTCAGTTGGTGATTTTGTTTAATAAACCAAGAAAGTAAAGGGAACAAGGGATAATTTTCCTATCTTTCCAATGACCGTCAAGCTTCTACTTTCAGCTTGCTCTGCCTCCTCTTAATTCTCTGCTTTAAGGTAACCCTTATTCTTATACACTGAATTGTATCCCCACTCACTTTTTAAGAACTTCACTCTTGGCCCTGGCTGCTGTGGCTCAGTGGATTCAGGGCTGACCTGTGACCAAAAGGTGTCCAGTTCAATTCCCAGTCAGGGCACATGCCGGGGTTGCAGGCCAGGTCCAAAGGGGAGGGCGCATGAGAGGCAACCACACAGTGATATTTCTCTCCCTCCCTTCCCCTCTTTAAAAGTAAATAAATAAAATATTTTTTTTTCAAAAAACGTTCTTTAAAAAAAAAGAACTTCACTCTTGAAATTAAACATTCTTTCTCATATCATGAATCCTCACCCCTAAGTGGATGTTCCCTTTGAGACAGAGATGTGCTGTAATACTTCTCCTCAAAAGCCCTTCCCCTTTTCAACTACTGCTTCATCTACCTACTGTCTTGACATAGAAGACATAGTCACTTATCTTTATTCAATATCTCCACTTTTCTCTACTGCAATGGTCTTTGTTATTTTTATTAAGCAAGTTCTTTGATGTTGCTGTTTTCATTTATTATGAAGTGCATTCAGCATTAAAATATACAAATAAGTAACATAGTACAATACAATGTCTTCTCTTTTCAAAGCTGGAAGCACGTTCATTAATGACAGATGTACTTCAGCACACTACAACTGCAGAATGAAGTGTAACGCCAATGAATATGCAATTAGATACTGCCCTGACTGGAGCATCTGCTGCAGAGTGAAGAAAATTGAGGTTCAGAAAAAGAGGAAATGGTGAAAACTAACTCCATCTTCTTCAGACTCCAAGGAAAGAAACTAAAAATGAATGAGATCACCTTGTCTAATAAAAATAATGGCTGTGATGGGTAATGGAAATTTATAATTATGTGGAGATGGTCAGGTTGAAGTAAATATAAATTTTATGAAAGCTTACTCTCTATTTTCATCTGTACACTGGTTCATTAATTTCCTCAGTTGATATCCACAACTGCTTTGCTATTTCATCAATAGAACTATATCCCACCCCACCACTTAGTAACTTGGGCAAATTCTTCAGTCTTTCTCTACCTCAGTTTTCTTATTTATGAAGTGAGATAATATCATGGTGTTATCAGAACCATATGCATTGATATATACAAATTCTTTTTAAAAGATTTTATGTATTTATTATTAGAGAGAGGGTAAGGGATAAGGAAAGAGAGAAAGAAAAGTGTTGATGTGAGAAAGAACCATCAATTGGTTGCCTCCCATATGCCTCCAATTGGGGACTGGCCCGCAATCCCCCAAGAGGGGACTGGCTACAACTCAGGCATATGACCTGACTGGGAATCAAAGTGGTGACTTTTTGGTGTGTGGGACAATGCCTAACCCACTGAGCCACACTAGTCAGGGCTATACATAAATTTCTGATCAATACTTGATCTCAGCATAAGCTCTATATGTTAGTTATAATTTCATGGATCAGAGAATGTGATCTGTCTTATAGCATTTTAGAATTTATTAAATCATTCTTTGTGATCTAAGATAAAATTGATATTTGTTCAAATTTCCTGTGATTTCAAAAATAAGGTATATTTTCTGTTTCTGAGATGATGTAATCTTATATAAACACAACGTATTTATGCAATACAATCATATTTTGGTAATCTAGGACTGGAGCCCTGGTAGCAAGGAGTAAGAGGAAAGAAGAGTCATACGGGTTTCAGAAGGAGAACTGACAGAATTTAATGAGAAGAAGGTATAAAATGTGATCTTGAGATTTCAAAACTGGCCAAGAGATGGTTGACAGTATAACTCACTAAACTAGAGTCCAGAGAGAAAGTAGGTTGGAAGCATAGGGAAAGCCAATAAAGAGGTGTTTTGGCATAAAGGGATATGAATATCAGGTCAGTGGGAACATTTGCAAAAAGTATAACTTTACTTTTTTAATAAGTGAACTTAACTCCTGTTACAAACCTCATCCTGCCTGGCCACAGAACCTGAAACAGAGTTGAGCGGTGGTGGGGCCCCTGCAAGATCCTTCATGAAAACGGCCTCCTGACCGTTGGTGGTCTTTTGTCACTAGTCAAGTTACAACTGCTGAGTTGCCTCTTATTCTTGATAAAATTCTTACATCTGTTTGGTAATTCCTTCGTGCATAAGATAATTCTGCTACTCAAGCATCATTCCCTCAGTTCAGAAGGGACTATGACATTGATCTCAGTCATTCAGGGATTATACTACTGCTCACTTCTCATGGGGGAGCCTTGTGAGGGACAGGGGGCCAATGATGTGAGGCTGCTGGAGGGAACCACACAATCGGTGCTGAGCTATGCTCTTAACACCTCTTTGAGCTGCACTTACCTAAGGAAACACTAGCGCATCATGTTCCCAGACTTGACCTGGTGTTTCTGACCGCCATTACCCCATTTCCCTCCTCTCCCAGCACCGGAGATAGAAACAGTGACCCATCACAATTTAAGCTGTTCTTCTTTTTTCACTCCTATACTCTCCTGCCTCTACCTTATTCAGGACTTCGTTTAGGAAAGAAACCATGCCCTTAATTCATCTCCATTCTCCAAAACCTATCATAAAATCTGAATTCAAGAGTTCCTGCCAGTGCCTAAGAGAACATAGTCTTGAGATGCAGACACCTGCTCTTGGTTTCTCTCTTTTGGAGGAGAAAGGTACACCACAAACCACGAGAAGCTGGAAGGAAGGCACAGAACAGATTCTTCCTCACAACTTTCAGAAGCAAACAATACTGCCAGGGCCTTGGTCTCAGACTTCCAGCCTCCAGAACTCTGAGACAATACATTTCTTTTGTTTAAGCCACCTAGTTTGTGGTATTTATTATGGCAGCTCTAGGAAATTAATACACCATACTTCTTTTTTATCTTATTTACTTTTATTTATCTTTTAATTACATTTATTGGGGTAGAATTGGTTAATAAGATTATACAGGTTTCAAGTGTACATTTCTATGATGCATGACCTGTATATTGCATTCTGTGCCCACCACCCAAATAATACTATTTGAGGTGAAGGGTACATCAGTTAGGTTGGTTGTGATAATCACTCCCCAATGTATATGCACTTCACATCATCACATTTTATTCTTTAGACACATACAATTTTTATTTTTTAGTCACACCACAGTAAAGCTGGGGAGGAGAAAGTCATGAAGAATGGTTGTGGGGGATGATACACTATTTTCATTCTCTTGAATATGATGATGTTTTCAAAAAAGTGGATATGTGTCAAAACTTGCCAACTCGTACACTTTAATATTTGCAGTCAATACTTTTATACCTAGTAAAAAAATTTATATCTAGTAAAGATGGTTTTATGTAGTGACAGTTATAAAACAAAATATCCTTGAGAGAATATTATGCAGCTTTAAAAAGATACTTATAGAGTTTATAATGACACAGAAAATACTTTTGGTATATAGCATTTTACAAAAGTAGGATACTTAACTACAAGTATATTAAGTGGCTATAACTATGCAAAAAGTTATTAAACAATAAGTGGGGCATAAATCAAACTTTCTTAAGAAACACACACATTGTCTCTGGGAGGTAGGGCTCGAGTATAACTTTTCTTCCCCTGTAATTTTTAATATTGACTAAATTTTCTAAAATCAGCATTTAATTTTTCTGTTGTAGCATAAAGAGCAAGCAAAATAAATTTCATTTATTTTAAAAAATAAAATGTCTATAGTTTTTTGGTCTCCGTTGGTGCTTTTGGGAAACCCACAGGTTGGGGACCTGTGCCCTTGTCAGAAGGAAAAGCTGTCAAAGAGGAATGGCTGTCAGTTTTCCCCTCCTACAAGCACTGCCAACTCAGCTGCCTCAGGAGAGATCAGTGTAGCGTACCTACCTGGAGCAGGACATACCCCAAATCTGAGCACTTTGTATGGGACGGTGTGTCCCATCTTCCCTTTCTGCTGACAGCCAAGATCAGAACCTGCCGCCAGCCTCCTCAATAGAAGATTTAGCCATGAAGCCTCTCATCGTATTTGTCTTTCTCATCTCTTGGAACCCAGTGCTGGCAGGTAAAATACAAATCTTCCTGAGGTGGGGTCCTTTGTCTAGAAGAGCTATTTCACTAAGCAAACCTGTGAATGTCTTCCCACCATGGACTGTTTCATTTTCAAAGTGGAAAAAGCATCAAGCTGCTTTGATGCCAGCAAGGTCTGAGCTTGAACCTTTCCTCTCCAACTGATTAGCTGTACTGCTGTAGTCAAAGGTCTGAGCTTCTCTGAATCTTAGCCTCCTCACTTACAATACATAAATAATTTGGCTGACCTCCAAGTCTTGCAAGAATTAGATGGGGTAATGCATAGAATATGTCTGTACATAATATCTACAGCACCTGACTTATGAGAAGCATCATTATATTTTTCATTGGCAATACCCCGTTCTGTTTTGCTACTCTTTTGTCTCTAATTCGGGAACATATCTAGTCATATCAGCCAAAACCCGCAAACAGTGTTATTATTTGTAGATTCCTTAGGCACATAGTGGAACAGATCTGGAACTGCCTGTTTCAAGAGGATGAATGAGCTCTAAGTGACACAAGAAACGTCTGATTAGATGAGGTAACAGCTAGAGAGACAGGAGGGAGAACACTGACTAACCTCATGTTCTGACTTTGCAGTCTCATCTTGAATACTCTCTTCACTCAGTGTTATTGAATCAGTTCAAATCCATATGTTATAGGGTCCCATTTAATTTCTCACCCTCCCTGAAATAGTCTGCAGGCAAATAAACCACATTTTTAGATCATGTGACTCAATAGGCTAGATTTAAGAATCCACAGGATCCAGGCCTCCTAGAGGTGTTGCTGAGACCGATTGCACTATGGTTTATGGTAATGGATTATGGTCTCTAAACAGTCAGCAAATGCATACAGTCTACCATATTCTGTTTAGAGTCTTACACAACCCCATAGTTAGTCTTGGCTCATATGTAGACCATTACACTTCCTCTTCTTGGGCTTCCATCTTGCCAGCTAAGTAACCCTGATCTCTTTTTCCCTCAGGACAATTATGCTCCAAGGCATGATGACTTAGATAGGGTATGTGCTGGCTCAAAACATCTACAGATGGCCAACACTGGCACTCTGGTCCTTTTAACACCCTCTTACCTATGAACATAAAGAAACATTCCTGTCTTGATGGTTCTGTGGAGTCTCATGTCTACAAAACTGTAAGCTCAGCTCAAATGCCTTGGGCTCTAATAAGAAACCCCAAATCTTCAAGCCTGATTTTATCCATCTCTGAGCTCGCAACACTGTTCCATGTTACAAATGTTTCACTGGACTTGGCATGTTTTCTCCTCTCCACAGGTATTTTGTGTTTATTCTATTTTTATCTAGACTAAAAATTTTTTGAAATTAAGTTCCATATCACACTCAAATCTGCAACCCAACAGTACCTGGTTTTATAAAAACTTAATTTTCTCTAGTATATTACTTGACCAGTCTGGTCAAGCTTCCTAGTCACCAATTGTGTGTGTCAGCTCAGACTGCCATAACAAAATACCACACACTGCATGGCTTACATAAGATCTATTTTCTCATATTTCTAGAGGATAGAAAGTCCAAGGTCAAGTGCAGGTTGATTTGGCTTCCAATGAGAGTTATATCTCTGGCTTATAGACAGTCATCTTCTTTCTGTGTCTTCCACCAATAAGGCCACCAATCCTAATGCTTTAGGGCCTCACTCTTATGACCGCATTTAACTTAATTATCTCCTAAAGTCCCTATCCCCAAATACAGTCACACTGAGGATCAAGGTTTCACATATGAACTGATGGAGTCAGGGGGCAGGGATAGGGGCTGCTGCAATTCAATCCATAGCACAAGTTTATTTTTTTCAATCAGAATCAATTTGAAGCAATCATTTTTACCTAGTCTCCTTGGAATCCAGTGTGATATTTAAAAAGTGGAGGGATTCATCATTTTATAGTCTAAAAATGCCAGTGTTGATTTATCTTTTCATTCATTTTCTTTCTAGGCTTGAATCCAATATCATCAGAAATGTACAAAAAATGCTATGGAAATGGTACCTGCAGACTTGAATGCTATGCAAGTGAAATGTTAGTCGCTTATTGTATGTTTCAGCTGGAGTGCTGTGTCAAAGGAAACCCTGATCCTTGACATGAGAAGCCGGGGAATGCCAATGAACTTGGAAGTCCTTACCAACCCCCATCATCTTTCACACAGCCAAGGAATTTAGATTGAACTCTGACACTGTGATGTGCCCACAACTGTTGGTTTTTAGCATTTTATAAGCTTTCAGAGCCTTCTGATTTTGAATTTTAAAGGCTGGGCTGCAGCCTTCTTAAAAACAGCTAAGCAATGGACAGTGTCCAGAGGGGAGAGGGGAGGGAATTTCAGGGGAAGGGGAAAAGGGTTTGAAGGAACTAGTATAAAGGACACATGGACAATAACAAGGGGGGTGGAGAGGGGAGGGTGGTGGGGAGGGCTGGGGGTGGGCTTGGATGGGGGTAAAGGGCAGAAAACTGTACTTGAACAATAATTAAAATAAAATTTTAAAAAAACAACAACAGCTAAGCTGCTTCTCCTGAAAACAACTTAGAATACATTTTCTCACTTCAGTGATATCTGTGCTCTCCTCAGCCTATTTACCTCTTTACTCATAGAAAAGATGTCTATAATTATTCATAGAGGCTTCAAATTATACAGCCATTTTTTATACCCAGTCTTCACCATCCTTCAGCTCCCCACTTACCTTTCCTTTGATCCTCCTGTACGCAGAGGAACAGGTCTGCCCTGACCCTCTGAGGACTGGTATATCTCTTGCATTAACACATAGGCAAGGCTTAACTGCCGGCTGGCTTCAGTGGCTTTTTTAAATATTTTATTTATTTTATTTTTAGAGAGAGGGGAAGGGAGGGAGGAGAGAAACATCGATGTGAGAGAGAAACATTAATCGATTGCCTATCGTGCACGCCCCCAACCAGGGACAGAATCTGCAACGCAGGCATGTGCCCTGCCCAGGAATCGAACCGGTGACCTTTCACTTTGTGGGATGATGCTCCAACCACCTGAGCCACACCAGTCAGGGCCAGTCTGTAGTCCTGACTGAGTCTGACCCTGCCATTCTTGTTGTGATGGGCAGCCATGAGGCAGGTTCTCATTCACCTCCCATGACTACTCTCTTCCTTTTAATTTCTCTCTGTCTATCCCTTACCTGTACACTATTGCATTTTAGAAGCAGATAGCTTGTTGTCTAGCTTCACATGTTCATGGCTGGAGAAAAATTTTGCCTCAGGATAAACCATACTACGAGTCTCACCTATCCTCACTGCAGGTGGTATTTAGATATGACTTCGGACTTAAAAGTTAATGCTGAAATGAATAATGGTTTTGGGGTACACTGGGGGGAGATGAATATATTTTACATGTGAGAACACCCTGAATTTCAGAGGACTATAAGGCAAACTGTTGTGGACTGGGTTGTGTGATCCCACAAAATGTATGTTGACGTTTTAACCCCAGTTTCTCAGAATGTGAGCTTCCTTAAGAACAGGGTTGATGCAGATGTTAAGATGAGGTCATTAAGATGGTCCCTAATCCAATAGGACTGATGTCCTCATACAAAGGGAAAATCTGGACACAGACTCATGCAAACTAGGAGAACACCATGTGAAGGTAATGATAGACACTGGGGTGGTGCTCCCATACACTAAGGAAGGCCAGAAAACCACCAGAAGCTGGGTGAGATGCATGAGGCACATTTGCCCTCACAGCCTTCAGAAAGAGCCACCTCTGCTGACATCCTGCTCTTGCACTTTGTAGCCTTCAGAACAATAGTACAATAGATTTCCATTGTTTAAGTTCCTTGGTTTGTGCTACTGTGTTATGGCAGCTCTGGCGCATTAATACAGGGAGTAACTGCTAGAGTTTCTTTGGGGAGTGATAAAAAAATTCTAAAATCAATTGTAGTAATGTTTGCACAATTCTGTGAATCTGCTAAAAATCACTGAATTAGACACTTGAAAGGGATGGCTTTTATGGTATTATAGAATGTGAATTATAGAATTATAGATCAGTAAAGTTGTTTAAAAAGAAAACTAACATACAACTAACCTATGTCTGAGAAATTCCACTCATAGGTATTGACCCAAGAGAAATAAAAGCTTACTTTCACAAAATTATTTGTACAGGAATGTTCATTGCAGCTTTATTGCAATAGCCAAAAATGTGGAAACATCTCGGATGTGCCTCAAGAGGAGAATAAACAAACTGCAGTGAAATCATATAAGAGAATACTACACAGCAATAAAAGGGGGTGTAAGCAAGGTGTAAGCAACACCATGGAAAACACAAAAATATTATCTAAGTGAAAGTAAAATCCTTACACAAGAGAGCATGTGCCTTAGTGATACTATACATGTAAAGTTCTACAATAGGCAAACTTAAATTAATCATGGTTAATATAAAACATAACAGCAGTTACTGCTCAGAAAATACAAAGTTGGTGGCAGATATCAAGGAAGAAGGGAATTAGGGAACTTTCTGGAGTGATATAAATGTTTGAGATCTTGATAAGGTTTAAACTGCATAGGTATATGCATTTGTCAAAGCTCTTAGAAAAGCCCACCCAAGATTGCATTTCATTGTGTGTAAATTTTATTTCAAAAAAATTATTAAAAGAAACTATTAAATCCTAAGTAATATCAATAATATTTTGAAGCATTTAGGAACAAATATATTGATGATGAAATATATCCAAACAGGCAGATGGAGTGTGGAATACATATTTTTTACATCCACAGAACTGAGTTCTTTGTGTGTGTTGCAGAGCTGGTATTGGTCTCAATCTATTGGCATAAGTTCAATTGTATGTGGAGAAGGGGATAGACTTAAGAGGGACAATTTTTGCAAAAATCCCTTCCAGGGAAAGAGGAATATGGACTCCACCAAACGGTATCTCTTCTCCTTCAGACCACGTGAGCATCTGCCTGAGTTTCTGTGCGAAAAAAGATGGCAGGAGGTAGCAGCCAATACAGTTCTCATAACAGACTCCATGAGATCTGAGACCATGCACAGCATTGATTGCATGCCTAGGCAAGGAAAAAAAATACAGTAGACAGGGACTTCAACTAAGAGATCATTTCCATCAGAGACATAATGAATGCCCTTAAGGAGAAATACAGCAGACACAGAAACAGAGAGGCTAAAGCCATTGTTTTAATGGGATGGTGCCTCTGATAAGGATCTGAGTCCCCAGAGGGAATCAACGGGGGCCTCAGATACAACTATTTCATTTGAGGTAAATAGTTCTTGACTACGCAGCACAGATTTACACCATCACACAAAATATAAAACATTTCTATTTTTAAACAAGATCTCCTGCAAACACCTTTCATTCGCCAGCATGTAGAAAAGTATTTCCTTACGGCGGCATTCGCTCCACTTCTAACTGCCAACAAAAAGAAACGTAAATGAATGGTGTCCTCTAGGGTCACGGCATCATGGGGAAATTAGACTGTAAAATAAAAGCTATCCTTTAGAACTTTTTAATGGTAAATTGCACAGGATTAAATTATCCTGGTCATGTTATGACTGGATTCTGTTTTTTCCATTGCTTTTAAGTTATTTTCCAGAGACCCTATTATAAATCTTTAGTTCTCATGGCCCCCACCTACATGTGCAGGTCACAGGCCCCAGCAGATTCAGCTTGCAACAATTTGCAGTGGAAAGATCATTTAGACCTGAGAGTTCTCCCAGGAATCTTCAGAGGCCCCATTCCAGGAGACATGCAGGGCCTGGGACAGTCCAGGCAGTATGAGATTGTCACAGTGTTTGCTTGAAGAAGGAATGATCACTGACCTAGGATTACAAGTCAGTGGTTCTGGCCCTGCATTCCCAATAACACTCTTTGTGACTTTTTGCCAAGTGCTTTACTACCTGCCTTGGCTCAGTCATGGGGTACCAGTGAACATGTCCCCAGGGATAGTGAGTGTGAAGTGGTTTGAATAGCTAAAGCACAGATCTAAATCTATTGCTCATATTTTTCCTAACCTTAAGACGTGGGTGCCTGTAGAAGCTGAGGGGTAGGGGAGGAAGGAGAGGAAGACAGTTTAAGAAGGTCCGGATGGCTCAGAGTCATCCTACCGAGTCATCCATTCTGTGTGCTAAGCTTTATCAGTCTCTCTACCCAGCTGGCCCAGGGGACCATCTATTGGGTGTGAGGATAATCAATGTGGTATGACCAAAAGCCACTGGCAAGCAAATTTGCCATGAGCCCTGGGATGCCACTCTGGGGACAAAGGAGACCAGTGGAGACATAACCCAAAGTGTCCAGAGGTCCTGCCATGCCGGACAGCAGCCACAGTCTCAATGCCATCCTCATCTGTGCCTGTCTTTGGAATACATCATGCTTGGCCCTTAAGTGTCACCTTTTGACTATAGAGGTTAAGGACTGAGGGTAAAAACTTTCTACAGACCCCCGCAAACCAGAAGCAAAGCAGCTTTGAGGCCTTGCACTTCAGTGACTTATGTAGATTATCAAGTCACTGGCTGTCTGTGCAGAAAATGAAAATTCTGAGCCCTCAAACTGACGTTCCATAGGATACCATGATGCTGTGAGTGAGTATGTTTGAACAACCAGCTCCACATGCTGGTTCTGCTCAGTATCATATTTGTCTCCCTTCTAAATCTGTGAGAAATCATACAGGTAACTGACAAGGGAGTGTAAGCTCTGCGAGTCCTGAACAGCTTCCTTCCTCACCACCCCCCTGCCACCCTCACCAATCCTACCTGTGCTCTAAAGATCTCATGCTTTTGCTCTGCTCCACTCCTGCCAATACCATCAGTTCAACGTCCCCCTCAAACTTTACAAAGTCTCCAGACCAAATCCAGAACCCATTTCTTCTCTGAAGAGAGCCAACTCCTAGTATGTGTCCTTATCACTTTCTCTTTCTTCCTTGGAACAGCCCAGACCCTCCATCTCTCCCTGTTCCTGCTTTTCTCATCCAAGTCCTACCTTCTTCTTATTCTTCTAAAACCTCACATCTTCTTTCCCTTCACTCTTTAGAATTCCACAGGGAGGCAATTGCATTTTACCTGGTGGAACATAGGAGAGCAAGACAAGAACCGCAAGGACCAAGAATAAGCTCCTCATGGTT